CTGGAATCCTTTCTTCGTTTCTCGAGAATACGTTGTCTGCTACCACCACCCGAGTCGTTGTATCCCTTACGCGATCAACCGGCGTGCCTAATTAAACCCCTTCGTTGCTGGAGGAACTCCCTCTCGCGTGATCGTCGCTTCACCGAGGAGAAAGAGTAGTCGTAGCTAGGAGAGCCGATCGAATACAGTGGAGCCCCGTAAAGCGCGATTAAAAAGTTGCTGAGGAATAACTGTAGAAGTAAGATTCCTCGGATATATTCGTATATTCGTGTATTCTTCGTAAATGATATAACTAGAGGAAGAAGTTGGACTAATGTGCAAAAGATGTCCGTGGAATTTGACGCGAAATCCGAGAAAGTGAAATCCTTGAAATTCTCCTTGTAAACGTTTTGCTTTGTAAGGGGTCCTACTGTACAGTGTTTTAATAATTAATCCTAAGCTGTAGCCGCGGCTCAACCCTTAACATGAGTTCTCAGGACTCGAATCTTGAGCTCTGAAAGCTGAAGCCTTTAACGCTTGCGTCTTTGTGTTCAAAGACTTGAACTGTCTGTTGCTATGTTAACATCGTAAAGCTTGAGCCTTCGGAGTTTCAAAATTTAAGGTTTAGAGTTCAGTCTTCAAGGCGGTTTTCGTCAAAAGTGTTAATTGTTTATAGAATCTTGTAGTTCACTGTTTTCTCGATAGCTCAGATCGAGGTTTTGAACCTTCATGACTAAGTCATGAAGCTTCGAAGACTCGAGCTTTATAGAACTCTGAACTTCCAAGATTCAATCTTTGATTGAATTCAAGCTTTCCAAAACTCAGCCTTTGAAGTTGAGCCTTGAAGCTTCGAAGACTCAAGCTTCATAGAATTCCAGTCTTCGAAGACTCAGCCTTTAAGACAGCCTTGAAGCTTCGAAGCCTTTAAGACTACCTTGAAGCTTTAAGATTGAACCTTGAGGCTTCGAAGACTCAAGCTTCACAGAATTCCAGTCTTCCAAGAGATACCCTTTAAAGTTGAACTTCGAAGACTCGACCTTTATAGAATTCTAGCTTCCAAGAGCTTCCTTCGAATCAAGCTTCGCAGAATTCCAGCTTTCCAAGACTTAACCATTAACCTTTGAAGCTCCAAAGACTCGAGCTGTTTACAGCGCTAGATCGAAATTCATCGGGTGTAATGTCTCTATAGAAATCGACCGATACGTTTGTTCCAGAGGTGACGATGTACAACGATCGATCGAGTTGCTGGACAAAGTGCTCTCCGAGTACGACGAGCACGAGCCAGAGGGTGAAGGCGGAGGAGACGGCGTCGACCAAGTCGGAGGAGGAGGTGGAGGTGGAGGTGGCGGTGGCGGAGGAGTCGACAGAGCTGAAGACGGAGACAGGGACGGGGACGGCGGAGGACGAAGGGGCGCCGGAGACGTTGGGGATTGTGGAAGCAGCACCGAACCGAGTATCGGTCTCACACCCGACGACGAGAGTCCGTCCTTAGGTATTTTTTGGTCCTGTTTCCTGCTCCCCTACCGCGATACCCCTGCCTCCTATCCCCTCCACGGATTCAGAGACGTTTTCCCTTCCCCCGGTTTCAGATCGTCGACGGTTCAGACGACCGTTCATGCGACGAGACGGGGCCGAGGTCGATGAGATTCGCTGTTGGCAACCGATCCCGACGAAATCCGTCGGGTAGGGGTGCGTTTATACTATCCGTTCAGACGCGTCACGTTTCTGTTCAGGCGAAAGTTCTGTTTATACTGAATCTGCAACTTGTGGTGTACCCGGTCTACCCGTGACGTACCAGAGTAGAGAAACATTGCTCGGTTTACCCGTGGCATACCCGAGTAGAGCAAAATTACCCGTGTTACCCGTGATATACGCAGATAAAGAAAAATTACCCGAGTTACCCGTGACATACTCGAGTAGAAAAAAATTACCCGCGTTACCCGTGAGATACTCAGGTAGAACGAAATTACTCAGTAGAGCAAAATTACCCGAGTTATCCATGATACATGTAGATAAATAAAAATTACCCGCGTTACCCGTGAGATACTCAGGTAGAACGAAATTACTCAGTAGAGCAAAATTACCCGAGTTACCCATGATATACGTAAATAAATAAAAATTACCCGAGTTACCCATGAAATACTCGGGTATTATAAAATTATCCGAGTTACCCGTGAAATACCCTGGCAGTGTAGAATTATCCGAGTTGTGGACCAAATTACTCAGACATCTCATGAGATATCCAAGTACCCAAGTATCCGAATACCCGAGTGTCTCATAAGGTTCTATAACTGGCTACTAGACCTATTACTACCCGACCCGCTGGGTCCTTCTCCAAAAATAGAAATATTTAACTTTTAAATGATTAATTGTTTTATTCTTAACGCATTGTGTACCGGAAACGAGAAATCTCGTTTTTATTTAAACCTACCTTTACAGTTTTTCGAACTACCACACCATTTAAAAAAATATTAAATTTTATTGGAACTGATTACTTGTTTAATACTTATGTAATAATAATAAGATATTTGAATATTTTGCATATTGTGATATATCGCGAACTTATAAGTTGATCTCATTGAAAAGTCGGTCAGTTTTCTAAGAATTAACAGGTACGCAATGTGTTAACACGTTGAACGCCATGGGGATCATCAGTGACCCTCAACCAAATTAAATTATTACAATTCACTCAATTAAACGAAGATTATTTGAAAACATTACTATATTGTAAATAACGCTACCTAATGCAGTGACATTCAGCCAGATCAATGTGCAATAATAATAATGCAATTCAATCAAGTGATTTGATATTATATTTTTCCCATTTTGTGTATTTTGCTCTATGAAATTATGCGACGTTCAACGTGTTAATACTTCGTACAAAAATCTGATTTACCTGAATATTGGGATAGCTTAAGTAGAGTACTCGAATGAAACATACTTAGAGATTTTTTGATTGATCGGGTAAATACCCTTCCGGGTATCCGTGTACTCGACAGGTCGAGTAGTAATAAGCTCCAGTAGCTACTTATAGCACCTTATGAGATACTTAGGTACTCAGGTACATGGTTATCTTATAAGATATCCGGATAATTTTTGGTACTTTAATATAAATGGTATTTTTGCAAGTTTATGCTATATTTCAATAGATTAGCGTATTCTGAGTATAAAAGCACTGAGATAAATTTGTTCTAAAACATCCGGTAGTTCTAGTGTTAACCGAGTGAACTATAGTAATTCTATTTGGTTGGAGATCACCGGTGATCCTCTTGGCATTCAACGCGTCAAGCATGCAATGAAAAATAAAATTAGAACCACAAGAAAATTTGTACATGCTAATTCGGTACCCGTGAGATTGAATTACCGACAATCACTTTACCGACAGTGTTTTCATCGATAACGAGTTTGCTGATAATGTTTATTTACCGACGCATTCAAATCACCGACATCGATTTTCATCGACAATTACCGTGATTATCGCTATTGACTGTGGTCGACGTGTCCTCATAAACACATCGGCTTTGGTACAGAATGAAATTAACCCCTTGGCCTATGATTTCTTTTTCAACTCCGATCGGTACGGCTACTTTGTCATTAATAATTTATTGGAAAAGGAGACAAATTCTAAGCATACGTTATGCCTATATTTCCTTTTAAGTATAATTGTCAATCAATTAGGTCATTCTACATGTAAAAATTAGTCGAAAAAATAGAATAAAATTTTTTCCTGCGAGTCTTCGTATTCGAGAAAATCGAGGTCGAAAATTTCCTCGGTACATGTCGACTTTGTGCATCTCACTATACACTCTTGTTTTGATTCTTATTTGTATTTAGAGACATAATAATGACCTCGGTTGATAGTTTATCGTTTGGCTTATTGTTAGTATAATGTGAGGAAGTGGATTATGTATAAAAACAAAACGTTTGCTATTGCCATAGTTCTATTTTATTAATTCATAAATTATTGAAAATGCTGTCCTTGCAATCGCATATATAGTTCAGTTCTTCGCATCAGATTATTACGGACGCTTTGTAAAGAATTCTGAGCTTTTAAAGATTCAAATGCGAATAATATTTTATCTTTTAAATGCTCTTTACTCCTGATTTCTTCAGAGTATACGATATTTTTGACATGACTCTTGAGGTAAAAATCGAGTGGTGACAAATCGAGTGATCGCGGTGGCTAAAGTATTGGCCCGCCACAACCTATCCAATGGTCATAACGTTCTTTTAATAACTAATAAAAAACGAACGATCAACTATCAACGGAGGTCATTACTATATCTTTACATACAAATAAGAATCAAAACAAGAGTGTATAGTGAGATGCACAAAATCGTCATGTACCGAGTGCACACGTACCGAGTAAATTTTCGACCTCGATTTTCCCGAATACGGAGACTCGCAGAAAAAATTTTATTGTATTTTTTCGACTAATTTTTACATGTAGAATGACCTCCTAATTGATTGACCATGAGTCGCGGGACACCCCGTATATTTGTTGAATCATGTTAAAGATTTTCACCACGAGTCTCACTCGTTGTTGTAGGACAAGGGGTTAATGGAGGAAATGATAAATCATACTCTTAATTCAAACCTATACACTCGACTATGAATACAGTAGAAAAATATTTGTATTGATATACGACAAACATTAATCGACATAGGTAATAATAGTATGTCACGATAACTTGGATCATTTGTCAAAATGTTTTTATTATGCGCAGAGGCTAATGCATATTTAAAGACACGCAGGCTATAATAAACGATGATTTATCATAATAGTATAATAATTGTCGATGAAAAAAGGTATGAGGTGAAAATATTGTTGATATATAAACATTGCCGGTGATCTCAATGCCGAGAAGAACAATAAGACATACGCATGGAAAAACGTAAATACTTACAAGTATTACAAGTATTATTAAAAACGTAAATACTCACAAATATTATTAAAAACATAAATACTTACAAGTATTATTAAGGATAAGTGAAAACAAATGCAAGATTTCTTATGTGCAAACTTTATTAACACTAGGTAGTAAATGCTGGAAAATCTTAAATAAATATTATAAGTATTTACTTCCTGATTTTAACGTTTGTTTTGTTATGATTGATGTTTGAAAAGTTTTCGAAAAAACGTGGAAATATCGATATAAATGATTAACCCTTTGATGATGAATATTGTAGCTTTAGGGACATCGGATTTTGATCTCTGAACTCGAAAGTTATAAGCAAGGAATATAACTATTTAACACTGTATATAATTAATTAATACGTGGTGGTTATACAAATTGTAACAACATATGTTTTTCAGTTTCTTCATATATTAATTGTAATACCGAAGTGAAATTATTTATTTTTCAAATCAGTTTAGATATTTAACGCTTTTAAGATACCAATCATTGCGAAATAAGAAATCTGAGACCTGTTATTTTGACAGGTGCGGTTGTTCTAGTGTTAAATAACAAACAAATAAATAGCAATTCTAGTATTTAGGAGTTCGACATATAATTTAGCTTCTTATGGAGAAGCTTTTTAATAATTCGAAGAATCCCCGTCCGCAGAGGGTTAACCCATCTGCTGCAATCTAGCATACTTGAAATTAGTATAGAATATACAATAGAATAGAAATTAGAATATTTGCTTGATATTTTCAGTAAATACCAAGTGTTATGCATACGAAATTTAATTATATATCGGAAAATTTGGTAAATATATTATTTATATTAATAAAAATTATACTATTTATTATAAAAAATATATTATACAGTATAATATATTATATATAAATCTAATATAACATATTATCATACAGTAATATATTAATATTAATAAAATTATATGGATAAAAATATTATTGACAAAATCTCTGGTAAAAGCTAGTACTTCTTTTTATACATGCGACCCATTGTCGGCGATTTAAAAGTAACCTCATTGTTCTGCAGTCGACATCAGAGTGACGTCCTTAGAGAATCTTTCTTGAAGGATACTCGATTCCGCGTAGAATACTTCGTTAACGCTTTGACTACAATGGGCCGTATGCATAAAAAGAAGTGTTAGCTTCTGCTAGGAACTTTGTGAGTAAATACTCGGTTCTCTGTACACTCAGCAACGAAAGTTTAAACAAGATGGTAAGGAATAAAGTACCGTTAAAACAATGGTACACCGTATATTGCTATTCATTGAAATTAAATAAGTTGCATTTATGGTATATAGATGCAATACAAATTTTTAAATGTCTAGCAATATGCAAACAAATTGTACAACATTTATTGCGTCTGAGCATGCATAACGTTCGAATACTTTTGTTGCTTTTGTTACTTTTGGATATACATAAAGAGTGAAAATATTTACTGGAAAATTCGTAGGTGTCACACGTAGTATTTATTAAAAACGTTAAGTAAATAATTTCAAATATGCCACTCACTTATATTAAGATTTTCCAGCATTTATTGTATTTTTTATTATAAAAAATATTTTTATGAATAA